AATTTTTTTATGCTAAAGTACTTTTATTAGTAGTATTATATCAATGGAGTTGTCGACATATATTAATATTGGGATTTTGGGGAAAAGAATAATGTTTGTCTTTATAAATCATGTTAATCATAATATGACAATTTAAAAGTTTTGCAAAGAAAAAGAGATTTGCATGATATAATAGATGTTAGTTTGTTTTTTAAATATAGATGAACATAAAGATAATTTGTATATCTATATTACTTATAAATGTCAGCATATGCGAAAAAATTTTGATTTTTTATTTTATCCTTAATTATTATTATAAAATCAATTATATTCACATAATTTGCTTTTATTCAATTTTTATTTTTTATACCTATTAGACTTCTAAGTTCTTGTAGACTCTTTTTATTAGTAATATTTGTCTTCTATATTCTTTTAGTCTCATTTATTAGAAGTACACATTCAATATTTTATGTCAAATATGTCATATTTAATTTTGTTGGTATACAACAATATCTTAATATTATAATACAAATAATAATATTATAATTTAATCAATAATTTTGAAAAATAATATAATAATTAATATTATAATTGAATGATCAAGTACTCAAGAATGAATAAGATACAATAAAATTCCATTATAAATATAAAAAAAAAATATCTAAAGAGGCTGAAGATATACCTAAGAAAATGACAAAATAAGTATTCAAAGAGAGGTAAAATAGATCAATAATTAAGTTTAATAATTACTGAAATAAAAATCAATTATTTAATTTAATTACAAATATAACTTAAAAATTATTTATAAAAATATTATTAATTAAATATATTTACATGCAATATAAAAGACATGTCAGACTTTATAATTTTTTTAAGGGTAAAATAATAAATTAAAAAAATTTCATGTTAAGATATTTTTATTAATAATATAGATATAAATAGGTCGAACTATTATTCAATTATTTGGCATAATTAATTAACTATTCGAATTAAAATTGACTAAAACGAAAGCATCCGAATACTAACAACACACAACTGGTTTTCCACCCGTGATTATACAAGTTTGATTGTGCCACCAAATCCATTAATTCATGTTACTTAAATGACTGCTCACTTACACTGATGCATTTGTTTGGCCTACAATTGTGTCCTTTTCCAGGTGGTTCTCTCTCTCTCTCAGGGACAATCAGGCGCATGCGTATCAGTCTCCATATATACCTTGAAATATGATATTTTGTTGTGGTACCGTCGGGGTGTCAATTATGTTGCGTCGTATTAAGTTTATGTTGTGTCATTTTCGATCATATTATTTTCATGTCATATATTGATTATGGATTGACATATCTCTTCTTTGATGAACTCAACTTTGTTCAAAAAATTAAGGGTTCCGCAACATATGGGTATTGAGAATTGATGATGAATGGTGACGAAGCTCTTTACAAACAATATGCTCACTCGTAGACTTTTCGAACAAAGTCATGTCATTCCAAAAAAAAAAAAGGTTAGAAAAGCGCTAGAGTATTTTTCGGCGTGACCTCTTTGACGATTAAGTCAGTATATGAGAGAATGATGGAAAAATACTGTTCTATTACTTTGGTGAAATTTGCGTACCTTAAACTTGTGTTTGTGAGAGTTATTTATATCTCATTGGAGTCAATCGTTACGGACTACTAGGTTCCTTGGAGGGAAAACTCCTCATTGACTCATTTGGAAGACAGCAAGCAGTGCTCAGTCCTTTAGACAGTGAGCATTCCTTTTCATGTGATAGAAACTTTTGTATTTAATGCTCCGATATTTGGGGGGTTGACGTTTCAGAGATTGATACTTCCTACACCCTCACCATTGACTAGTGGATTGTCTTTCCTGCCACCTTGACTGCTTTGGAAAGGATGATTGATGGCAACTTTGTTCCCAAGTCATGACAATCGTCGAAATACAATCAATGGCTGGCGTGGAGGACCCAACACCGAGAAGACATGTCAGATGGATAGCCCTTCGGCATGACCTTGATGTCAAGGACACGTGTCGAGTAACTTAGACTTCAGGGGACATCGGTGCCGAGTACATGTGTCAAACAGAGAGTGTTTTGAGGGACTTTGATATTGAAGACACATGTCAAGAATTTAACATCTTAGGGGCCACGTATCTCGAAGACACATGTCATTCACGAAAGAATTCCGAGGACATCTAATTTAAGGACATGTGTCACTCTATGATGGATCGATGACTGTCATGCTTGTCATGCTGAGAACATGTGTCAATTCCCATCAATCTCCACATATGTCCTATCAGTTATGTTATGCCAGAGGTTTCCTAATCACTTGCCAGAAAAAAGTGCCTACATTGAGAATGCACACAAACTAGTAAGAATGATTCATTTCTTTATACCGTGTTATTTTATATACTTGTTGTGTTAATATTTGTATTAATAAAAAAATATTTAATTTTACAACAACTCATATAATATTATTTAAAATTATAAAATAACTATGTTTTGTCTAGATTACCCATTAAATACCTAATTTTTGTGGATAGTATTTGTTAATCGTGTTATTTGTGTATAATCCTTAATTTGACCAATATATTGTAAGTTTAATGAATTGAATTATTTTTAAATTTTGTATCAAGTCGAATTTGTGCGAGGTTTGAGTTTTTGGATAAAATTAACACCTCTAGATCAAGGTCAGGTCCAACTATAATTGTACTTTTACTTTTTATCTTATAAATTTGATCGGGTGAATTTTTTTTTATAATTTTTTTATAATTTATCATTACATTACAAATCAATGACTACGGATCACTTTGGCAGGCACGGTACCGTAGCCTTACCCTCAAGACCACCGTACCGTAGCCTTACCTTTGTTGCATTATCAACTCCCTAGTTCCTCTCTCTCTCTCTCTAGAAAAATGGTTAAAATTATTCATTGATCTTTTATTAAGAGTTATTTTACACTGAAGTTAAAATTATACATAAATAGGACCATATTCAAGTCGAGTCTACTTGAGCTGAAGTTGATTTTTTTGAACTTAGCTCGATTATAAACGAGGGTAACAATTTCAGTGAATCTCAATTTATTTTACAAGGGCATGTTTGTTTGTAGTATAAAATTTGGGTGATATTAGAAATTATTTTCATTTCACTCATATCTAATAGTATATTATATCCGATCTTAAATTTTTATTCCATAATTTTTCTTGTTTGTTTGTTCAATAGGTACTATAGTAGACCTCACAAACAACCATATATTCTATCACATCTTATATAACAAATATATCATTTTACCCTTAACATTTTTCATTATATTTTACCCTTAACCATCTATACAAGGAAAAAATTTAAATTTAAAATTTTTTTTTCAAAAAAATCGGTAATACGGCTTAAACATAATATAAAAAAAAATTAAAAAAAAAAAAAACCGATAACAACATAGGCTTAAACATAATATAAGAAAAAATTTAAAATAATTTTTAAAAAAAAATAAAAAAAAATGGTAATATCGTAAGTTTAAACATAATACAAAGAAAATTTTCAAATAATTTTTTTTTAAAAAAATTGAAAAAAAAATCGGGGACACCATACCCTTAAATATAATACAAAAAAAATTTAAAATAATTTTAAAAAAAATTGGTGACAGTGTACGCTTCAAAATAATTTTTTTTTTAAAAATGGTAACACTGTACGCTTAAATATAATTCAAAGAAAAATTCAAAATAAATTTTTTATATGTGACCTCTTTAGATAGAAGAGCATGTATATTATTTTATTCATTTATATTATCCTTCCATTTGTACCGGGAAGACAAATACCACCTGGTAGGTGGTATTGCACCCATATCCTGGAAGCAAACAGGCCCCAAGAGCATAAAGCCTGACACTAGACATAACTCATCTAATTGAGCTAAACTCTTAGCTGCTTATATATATAGCTTGTCATTAAGCGACTTAAACGAGACAGAACTGAACCCTTGACAAGTTAGGGGGCAGTCAACTTAGGGGTAAGAATGGCACTGGCCTTATGGCAGGGGCGGAAGCCGAGGAGTGGTCTCCATTCTTGTATATGTTTTAAAATATGTCGTTTATTCCTTGTTCACCCCAAGTAATTGGCCAAGTTTAATCCCTACCCCCGTCCCGCAAGTAAATTTTAATTCCCGCCCTTGCCTCTGCCTTTAACAATTAATTTTCTGAAATTTTAAGAAAAAAATCATGACAATGAAAGTACAAGCTATATGCATGTATCACATGATATAATCAGAACTAAAAACAAAGAAATAAGTTAATAAAGGGCATAACAGTGCAAACACACAATTTTTTTTGTAACAAAAGTTAAATCTATCCCTGTCTTCATCTTCATACGAGTTTATACGAATATTTTTGTATACGTCTACTGTTCAATACATATAATTCATCCTCAAGCCAATTGATCTCTTGTATACAAAATTTCACCCCTAATTATAAAAAGAGAAATGCTATTTCGATTAAAAAAAAATATTGACATTTTTTGAGACTCTTTCCATTATAATTCACAATCATTAAATAGATAGTGAGTCTCAGTAAATATTAGGACCTACAATTAAATAAATGATAATGACGTTGGAAAGCAATAAATTTATCAATATTTTTTTATCCAAATAACATTGGTGATTATAAAATCTTCTTTTTTTTTCGTACACTTTTTAGTTTCCAAATTTGTACCATCGTAATCAAATTACCTTATTCAGTGTAAGTGCAGTCTAATCAATTCATTCAGAGCCATCCGATCCGATCGGAGATTTCTTAATTTTCTCCATCGTCAATCACCCACCATTAATGGGTATGGTGGGATCCACAAGATTCCTTAAGTTCAGAATAGGAAACTCAAATCAAAGCACGACCAAAGAAACCCTTTGTGCTCTTGTTGAGGTTTGAACCTTTGCTTGGCTTATATATACACAAACAATACCACAAGAAAGAACTAAAAAAGGGTAAAAGTTTGAAACTTTGTTCATACCCAAAAGAAGAAGAAGGAGGAGAAGAAGAAGGTGATGATGATGAGCTCGAGTTGTATTGCAGGGTGCTTAGATGCCCAAGCTCCAGTTGAACTTAGCCTTGTGAAGCTCCATCAATGGGCTCAAGCAGACAGAGAGTTCTTGAGAATGGTAACCATGAACAGAGACACACAGAGTTCTTCATCTTCTTCTCCTATCCTCAGTAGTCCTTCAAGAGGTAAGAGCTATGCTTGCAGACAAAGATATCTCAGAAGTTACACGTTCAGCAAGAAAGAAAGCCCTGCACAGAGAACAAAGAAGTGGCTTACGGAGAAGAAGAAGCAGAAGAAGGAAAATTCTAATGGCGGTTCTGGTACTGGGTCATGTTCGTTCCTTGATGTTGTTTTCAAACTTCTGTTCGTGTGTGTAGCTAAAGTAGATGTTCATGAGTTTTAGTGCTCCGGGTCAACTTTGATCTCTAACTATGGAGCATGACTTCTGCATCATGGATCTTTCTCTTCTCTCTTCCTGATTTAACTAGTTTATGTAACTTCCAAAACTTCTCTATTTCTAGTTAGGCTTGTGATTTTCCTTTATTTTTGGTGTTATATATCTTACCTTTTTTTTCCTCATTCAAAATTGAGTTGACTATCCATTACACACTAATATTATTTGAATTTAATTTGTTGATATAAGTTATGAATGCTCTCAAACTTTAAAGACCATCAATAGTAGGTTTCCTTGCCCAGAGGTAATCTAACTTTATTCTTCCCAATCCAACAATAAAGCAAATAGTAAGGAGTAGTCCTCATGGGGCAACCAGCCAACAAAGGATAGGGCTAAGGATCCAAGCTCAGAAATGGTTAATGCTATATCAGATTGAGCTTGTTGAGCAGCAAGACAAGAATCAATCTAATCTCAGATAAATCACACTAGTTGGAAAGCGCTGATAAAGCCATTGGCTAACGACCCTCTTTCTCCTTTTTCATGGAAGCATGGTCAAGCACCAAACTTAATTCACCACAACCATTTAATTAACAACAAATCTCAACAAATATTCGAATTTATTGTCCATCAGCACTTATAGTATATTTCACCTCTTTGAAAATTCATTCAAATTTTTTAAGCGCACTAAGATATGGGTCTATAGAGTTAGCGTCAGCTTTTCAAGATACCGGAAAGGGCATTATAATTTCTTCTATTATTTAAGGCAAGACGATGGTAGATGACTGGTTGTATATTACTATTCTACTTTCAAAAATCGTTAATATTATTTAGATTTTATTTATTAATATAATTTATTTATTTAATATACCGTCGGACCCTAAAATAAATTGGGACCCCCCATGTCAATCAAATGACTACGATGCAGATTAATTTATGAAGATTCCCATGATAATTTAGAGACAGTTGATGCCTGGACTGGGATTGTTACATCCATTTCTTGTAGTAGCTCGATAAAACAAAGAGAAAAAAAGGTAGAGACAAAGCTGTGAAATTAAAAATATATGCAGTACAAAGGCAGAGGGAAGACTAAAGCGGAGGAGGACAAAACAATGAGGCTCTATGTCCACATCCCCCAGAATGTCTGTCCCTATTCAGATGTCTAGTGGGTTGGTTCAGGAGAAAATATTGTGCATTTATAAGGTATCATGTGGCACTGCTGTGCTTACATCTAATAAAAAATTATCACCGTATTTGTTTGTCGAACTTACGAGTTGAACCAAATAAATAAGAATGTATATTATTGTACGAGTACATTATATGACACTGTCATCAATTATAGTGGCGGAGCCAGAAAAATTTGTTATGTTCCGTTTGGTAGAAAAGATGAAAAATATGATAGATACACTTTCTATTATTCAAAGAAAGAAAGTAGGAATGATACATTTTTTTTCTTTTGTGTTTGGTTGAATAGATGGAAAATAAAAATGACTAATTATTATTATTATTATTATTATTTTTGTGTTGGCTAAGATTAGAGGTGACTATCAAGTCGTGTTAGATTCGTGTTGAGTCAGGTCATTTGCAAATTCGTATGTCAGGTCATTTTCAAGTTCGTGTCGAAATATAATCAAGCTCGTGTCATAAAATTTGTATCGAGTTCGAATCGTGTCATCGTATATATATACTAATTATTGTCTGTGCCTGAAGATATAGACTAATAAAAAATAGTAAACAATAACCATATTTGTATTTATATCCAAAATCAAATCACAAATATATAGAAGAGATAAAAGAATATAAACATTGTTTTATAGTGGAAGTGAGAGGTGGTGGGTAGTAATGGTGGTAGTAGGAGACGGTGATGGTTGTGGTGGATGGCAATGACTGTGGTGACGGCGGTGATGGTGGTGGTGGTGGCGATGACAATGGTGGTAGTGGGACGGTTTCAACTACTATTTTTTTTAAGTATTTATGATATGTAATTGCTAGAAATACTTTTAAAAAATTACTCCAAATACACCCTTAGGGTCCTCTATTTTTCTATTAAATTTAAGGTGTTAATATTAGCCGTTAGATTAACTTTAAAGTAAAATTTAAATTCATCTCAACTACGAATAGTAAAAATCATTTTGTTTATCTATTAAAATTTAAATTGTAAGCTACTTTATTATATATATATATATATATTAACAGATATATAGATAAATAAGATACATCTCAACACAAATAATTAACTTTCCATCCACCTTTCTTCCGATTTTTTAGGGATTGATTTTGGTGAGTGGAAATGAAAGTTAGTTCATCCACTTTTTCATTCTTCCTATTTTCCTTCCTTACCAAAAATGATATTTTATTTATCCCTTCAACTTTTCATCCTTCCATTTTTCAATCATACCAAACGGAGCATTAGAGTGAGCACATATTTATTACATTATATTATATTGTGTATATATGAATATTTATTAACAATAAAAGTCCAAAAGTCTATAAAATACAAAGAGAAAGAACAAAAAAAAGGATTAATTACAACTCTTTAAAAATGTGAGGCTACTCACAATTTTTTAATTGGCCAGATAAGTGTTTATAATTCTAGAGCATTACATGGTAAACTCAATGTCGGTAACATTTAAAGTATCGTATTGTATAATCAAGCTCTTGGTCATCTGTTAATCATTCATTTCGTTACTCGGCTAATTTTTCACAATTTTTTATTTTTAATTTATTTTATAAAGTATCTCTGAAGATTAAAATAAAGGTATAAAAATAGTACAAACCATGAAAATTGAGTAGAAAATACAGTAATATAATCGAAATACAACTCAAACACAATAAATTATCAGTAAAAAAAAACATAAAAATGAATAATCGTACAAAAATAATAGTCTATTATAGGCTAATTTCAATATACATAGAACAAAAAACTCATAAATATATAAATCAAAGTCAATTGAAAAGAGTTCTAACACAATAAAAACGACTAAACATATATATTGACCTATCCTAAAAGTATTTTAATAAAAATATAATTAAAATATGTACATAATAGAGTTGGCACTATACAATATACATTTATAATGTTTAATAAATATCTAACTATATGTATATAACAAAAATTTAAAAAAAAAATTGAGGTGAGCCCAGACCTCCCTCGCCCCTTAACTATAGAAACAGTCTAATCTTATTCTTCCCCATCTAACAACAAAGCATAGAGTAAGGAGTCGGCCCTGTGGGGCAACCAGCAAGCAAAGGATAGGGCTAATGATCTAAGAGCTTTCATTGACTAGCGATCAGAAAACGATCATAGTTAAATTAGACCAAGTTGGTTGAGCAGCAGAAGGAAAATCGATCTAATCTCAAGCAAACTACAATTGAAGTCAAAAAAAAAATACCAATTGGATAGGCCAGTAAAGCCATTAGCTAACACCCATTTTTCTTCTTCGAGAAAACATGGTCAAGTGTCAAACTTAATTCATCACAATCACTAAATTACCAAAACCCCAACAAATATTCGAATTCACATTCAATCAGCACCATATAATAGATTTCAGCTCTTTCAAAATTCATTCGAATTTCATCGGCGCATTAAGATATGGGTCTATAAAACTATTTTTAACTTTTCAAAATACCCGAAAGGACACTCTAATTTCTTTTATTATTCAAGGGAAGACGATAGTAGATGGCTGACTGTATGTTACTATTCCACTTTTAAAAATTGTTAATATTAATTTATTCATTTAATGTATTGTAACCATCGGCTTGATAACAATAAAAAATATGATGCATTAGATCAATAAATTAAGTCTTTTTAAAAAATAAATCGATTTACCGAAAGTTACCACATAACTCAATCCATTGATAATTCAAACTATGCAAGCCAACCATGTGCTACTATATTCTATTAGACAGTTCCACAAAAGTGCCAAAGGATGTCTCTAATAAGAGACTAATTTATGAAGATTCCAGTTGATAGTTTAGAGACAGTTGATGCCTGGACTGGGATTGTAGCATCCATTTCTTGTAGTGGCTCGATAAAACGAAGAGACCAAGCTCTATGTCCAAAGAGAGAAAGAAAGGTAGAGACAAAGCTAAGAAATTAAAAATAAATTATGCAAAGGCAGAGGGAAGACCAAAGCAGAGGATGACAAAACAGTGAGGACTGCTAGGAGAAAAGATTCTCCAAAAAGTGCCAAAACATATTGGGACTTGAGTAGGGTACAGGGTACTGATAAACAAAAAAAGAAATTTGCTAGTGTTCGTTCAAAATTTGTTTTATTAAATGGTATTTTTATCACAGTTATAGATATTTTTATCACCGTAATTTTTCTTTGGTATAAAAAAATTATCACTTTTGTGTGTTTTTTTTAATCATTGATATTGTATTTTTACCACTAACACTTGTTTTGTCGAACTTACAAGTTAATTTTTTCAAACAAAATTCTAACAACTTCACAAGTGGTACCAAATAAATAAGAACGTATAATATTTTATGGGTAATATACGTCATATGACACTGTCATCAATTAAAAATATTAAATTTTAAGAAGTGCAAAATTTCCAACAAACTATGAGAGAAGAGAGGGAGAGAAAAATATATATGATATGTAGGATAAGTTTTAAATGGTTCAATTTTTGTATACAAGTTAATTGATAGTGAATTAAATTATTTCTAGATGATCATATTCAAGCCGAGTTGAGTTTATTTGAACTGAGCTAAACATTCCTTTATTTCAGCTCGTTTACAAAAATGAAATTAAAAATTTGATCAAACTTCAATTTATATTACAATTTAGTGCACCTCATTAACTTATAACTAGTCTAATATGAGCCAAACTCGAGCCACAAGTGCGGAGTCACGAGCCAACTTAACCGAGACCGAACTGATGGCTTTGCATTTAACACAACTTTTTACGGTACCGAGTCGTGTGTACGATCAATATAAAATGGGAAATGCCACGGTGCCGTCTTCAGTATTATATCAAAATTTACAATTATTTAACGTAAAATTATAA